CGGCACACCGGGTTCTAGTCCCGGTCGGGGCGCCGGATTCTGTCCCGGTTGCCCCTCTTCCAGGCCAGCCCTCTGCTGTGGCCAGGGAGTGCAGTGGAGGATGGCCCAGGTGCTTGGGCCCTGCACCCCATGGGAGACCAGGAAAAGCACCTGGCTCCTGGCTCCTGCCATCGGATCAGCGCGGTGCGCTGGCCGCAGCGTGCCGGCCGCGGTGGCCATTGGAGGGTGAACCAATGGCAAAGGAAGACCTTTCTCTCTGTCTCTCTCTCTCACTGTCCACTCTGCCTGTCAAAAAAAAAAAAAAAAAAAACTTGACTCTGGCTCCTGGCTCCTGACTCCAACCTCCAACCTCCTCTCAGTGCAGATCCTGGGAGGCAGCAGTGATGACTCAAGTAATTAAGCTCCTGCAACCCCAGGGGAGATGTGGATTGCATTGCCAGCTCTTGGCTCTGGTCCAAGCCCATCGCTGGCTGTTGCATTTGGAGAGTGAATCAGCAGATGGAAGCACTTTCTCACGCTCGCTCGCTCTCTCTCCCACTCTGCTGCTCATAAATAATTTTTTTCAATTAAAAAATATCCCCAAGGATTAATCCCCAAGGATTAATTCCGAAGGGTTAATCTTGTCCGCAGCTGGGTCTGAATGCATGAACACCCTTGGTAGCGACACTTTTCTTCTTGAAAATCCATCTCGAGTATTCAGAATTTCTGATGTACGAGAACTTTTTTATTAATATCTACTTCAAATGTTATCTTCCTTATCTTCAGGCCATTTCCTTGTCTACATAGAGATTTAGAATAATCTCCTTCCTCCATTACACTTTGTTCCTTGAAGCTATTTTATAATCAGAATACATGTTCCTCTTTCTGAGGCTTCCTTGTTTCAGGCAAAATGTGTCGAGTCTGTAGTCTAATCCTCTGGATCTTGTGTTAGGCCATTTGTCTCTTGTATATTCTGAGCATGGAGATTAGAAAGGAGCATTATATTCTGCTAATGACAACCAGGATAGCTATTGTTTTCCTCATCCTGTGTTTTATCCAATTTTTAAAATGGTTCTTAATCTATAAATAAAGATTTGGAAACCTAGATGATTCAGTAAATACTACAAAAACTGAATTGCTGTTATTTTATATATGTGATTTAAACCTTCCTAAGAAAACAACCAATCACTACCTCTTTGACTTGTACTTGCTGTCATTATAAATCTTTATTTGTCCTGTTACACAGCACAATAGGGACCCTTACTATCTGGCAATTCCTGAGTTACCCAGGAGAGACCTTCCACTTACCTCCTTTCCTTTCACTACCTGTGTGCTTTTAAAAAAGAATCAAGAACAACAACAACAAACATGTATTTTTAAGTTTATTTGGAAGGCAGAGTAACACGCAAAAGGGGAGAGACAGAAAGAAAAAGAGATCTATCTGCTGCTTCACTCTCCAGATGGCTGCAAGAGCCAAGGCTGGGCCAGACCTGAGCCAGGAAGCGGGAACTCCACCTGCGTCTCCCACAGGGTGCAGAGCCCGAGCACTTGGGCCATCTCTGCTGCTTTCCCAGGTGCCTTAGCAGTGAGCTGGATCTGAAGGGAAACAGCTGGGACTCGCATGGACACTCCTATGGAAAGGCTGTAGCTTACCCTGCTGCACCACAACACCAGCCCCTACTACCAGTGCTTGTATTTATTTTTCTTGAAAATCTATATCTCTGTTTTTCTAAGTGTCATCATACTTTTATTTGAAGTTCTATGAGACAATTTTTTACTAGTTCTTACAAATATATTAGATTCATAAAAATTAATTAGCATATTGTTATTAAAGAAGAAAAGATGAAACGAGGAAAGAAGCTGATTTTAGTAACTTAATTTTATGAAGTAGAATTTGCGAAAGTAGAGACTCAATCTAGAGTAATTTTTAAATGCCTATTATCAATTTTCAGTGATCTCTAAGCTTCATTTTTCCTGATGTCTGACATATTTTCTTTTTAAAAAGTAGTTATTTCTGGAAAGATTTTCTGTAGCTATGAGCAATATTATTTTAGAATTTTATGGAAAGATAAAAGGAATAGAATATCTGAAACAAGTTTGGAGATGAAAAATAAATTTGAAAGAATCATTCTATGGAATATTAACGTTTACTTAGTAGCCAAAATAATCAAGACAGTGCTCTATTAGAGGAGGGATAGACACAGATCCATGGTGCCAAATATAGAACTCAGAGAGAATCCCACACAAACATATCCAACTGATTTTTGACAAAAGTCCAAAACTATTTAATGGAGCAATTAGACACTCATAGGTGGGGAAAAAAATGAGCCTCAACCTAAACTGCTCTCCTTATGCAAAAATTAACTCAAGATGATGACAGATTTAAATGTAACTTATAGAACTGTAAAACTCCTAGAAAAAAAATAGGAGAAAATCTTTGGAATCTAAGATAACACAAAGAGTTCTGAGACTTGACTCCAATAGTATGATTCATAAAAGGGAAAATCAGCAAATCAGATTTCATCAAAACTAAAAATGTAGGCTCTGTAAAAGACTATGTTAAGAGGATGAAATGACAAGTGGGAGGAAATATGCTTGCAAACTGTATATCCAACAAAGGACTGTAATCTAGAACATAAAAAGAACATTGAAAGCTCAACAGTCAAAAACCCTACCAATCCAATTAGAAAGTGAGAAAAAGATATAAAGAGCTATTTCACTCAAGAGGATATATAGATGATAAGCACATTAAAAAATATTCAACATCGTTGGCCATCAGGAAAGTGCAGATTAAAGCCATGATAAGCTATCACCACATACCTATCAGAATAGGTGAAACAAAAAATAGTGGCAACACCAAATCTGGTAATGATTCAGAGAAATTGGATCACTTTATATTGCTGGTAGCAATGCAAAATAGCCACTCTAGAGAACATTTTGGTAATTTCTTTAAAAACCAAATATGCAAATACCACAGTCCTGGGCATTCTTATATGAAAACTAACATTCACACAGAAAATTGCATGCAAATTTCAGCAGTTTTATATGTAATGGCCCAAACTGTAAACAACTCTCATGTCCTTCAAGGATGTGCGTACAAACTGTGCAACTTCATTAACATGGGATGCTACTCAACAACAAAAAGGAACAGGCTTTTGATATAAGGAGACTTCAAAAAGTTCATGGATGGAATTCAATGATACGTTTATTTTGGTGCCAAAAATAAGCTTTGAAATCCTAGCATAGTTTTCTCACAATACACATTTTTCATGAACTTTTTTGAAGACCCCTGATACATCCAATACCTGGGATGAAAATACAGAAAATTGTGCTGAGAGCAAAAAGGCAATTCTAAAAGGCTATATACTGGATGATTCCAAAGCCAGCACATTCTTGAAATGACAAAATTGTACAAATGGAGATATCAGATGACTGATTGCCAGGGATTCTGGAGGGAGTCTGTGGGAGGGAAATCAGAGTGACAGTACAAGGGACAACATGAAGGATGCTTGTAGTGATGGAAATATCCATATCTTCCTGGTGCCCATGGCTGTATTCTGGGAAAAAGACTTTGCTAAGGTTCTGCGTATAAACTGAGGATGGCCCCCAGTTTCATTCTGGGGAAACTGAGGAAGAGTACACAGTAATGCTCTCTATTATATCTTACAATAGATCTATCTTTTACAATTATTTATTACAAAAGATTTATTTTTTAAATTTATTTAGAAGGCAGAGTGACACACAGAAGGGGAGACCCTGAGAGAGAAAGAGATCTTCCCTAACGTATGCACCTACAATCACTTGAAAATACCCGTTTAGTTTAAAAAGTAATTGTGGGGCCCGCGCTGTGGCATTGCTGGTAAAGCCACAGCCTGCAGTACCCGGCATCCCATAGGGGTGCTGGTTCAAGACTCACCTGCTCCTCCTCTTCTGATCCAGCTCTCTGCTATGTCCTGAGAAAGCAGTGGAAGATGGCCCAAGTCCTTGGCCTCTGAACCCAAGTGGGAGACCTGGAGGAGGCTCCTGGCTCCTGGCTTCAGATAGGCCCAGCTTCAGCCGGTGTGGCCCTCTGGGGAGTGAAACAGTGGATGGAAAAATTCTCTTTCTCTCTCTTTGCCTCTGCCTCTCTGTAACTCTGCCTTTCAAATGCACAAGTAAATCTTTCAGAAAAAAAAAAAGAAAAAAGAAAAGATGTCATTTAGAAAACACAGTGGGCAGGGCCAGCTCCGTGGCACAGTAGGTTAATCATATCGGCATCCCTCATGGGTGCCGGATCTAGTTCTGGCTGCTTCTCTTCTAATCCAGCTCTCTGCTGTGGCCTGGGAAAGCAGTGGAGGATGGCCCAAGCCTTGGGCCCCTGCACTCGCATGGGAGACCAGGAAGAAGCTCCTGGCTCCTGGCTTCAGATCTGAGCAGCTCCCTGTGTTGCGGCCATTTGGGGAGTGAACCAATAAAACGAAGACCAGTCTCTCCCTCTCACCGTCTGTTACTCTGCCTCTCAAATAAATAAATCAAATCTTTAAAAAAAATAGTGGGCAACAACATGCCCACATTTTAAGGAAACAACACATAAACAGAGATATTTTTTATTTTTTTAAAGATTTATTTATTTATTTGAAAGTCAGAGAGAAGAGATAGAGAGAGAGCGAGAGAGAGAGAGAGGGCTTCTATCCACTGGTTCACTCTCCAGATGGTTGCAATGGCCAGAGCTGGGCCGATCCGAAGCCAGGAGCCAGGAGCTTCTTCTGGGTCTCCCACACAGGTGCAGGAACCCAAAGACTTGGGCCATCTTCTACTGCTTTCCCAGGCCATAGCAGAGAGCTGGATCAGAGTGGAGCAGTCGGGTCTCAAACTGCTGGCATTGCAGGTGTTGGCTTTACCCGCTATGCCACAGCGCCCACCCTGGATACTTTTTAAAAATAAAACAAAAAGTACTTGTGATTGCAAATTGTAATTATCATTCCATTGAAATGAGAATGAGACATGCAAGATTTTTTTTTCCTCCTGGTGTCCCCTGCAAGGTTTGCGAGGAGCCATCGCATTTGCCTTAGCCATTCGGAACACAGGATCTCAGCCCAAGCAAATGATGTTCACCACCACCCTGCTCCTGGTGTTCTTCACCGTCTGGGTGTTCGGAGGTGGAACGACCCCCATGCTGACTTGGCTTCAGATCCGGTGAGTGGCACTGTTTAGCAAAGGAAGTTGTTACAGAGCTTGGCTGTGCTGTTCTACTTGTGGTGTTGTTGACTTGGTCAAGAGTGCAATGGCATATCTGTACCCTAACTTGCCCTTGGGGCAAGCTGACCTTCATTACCAAAGGGAAGCAGTATGACCTAGCACCAGCCACACTGACTTTTGCTATGTACAGTGTGTTCCTAGAAATGGATTTGTCTACCTATTAATTCTCCTAGTTAATAGTATTTGAGTATAATAAGTATGCTATGGAGTTTACAAAAATAAGTAGGACACAAATATTGTCCTTAAGGTACAGTCCAATAAGGTTTGATACTAAAAAAAATGCTGGAATACCTAGGAGAAAGTGAATGCTTTGTTTTTAAATCTTTGTCTTTTAAATCTTAAATTTAAGATAGAAATAGGAATACAGACAATGCTTAAACCTATTTGGTTGTTCAATCATATGTTTAGCCAAAGGGATGCTATAGATGTAAGTTAGATACTTTCTCACAGGAAATGGAGGTCAAGGCTTCAGTTAGGGTTGCTCTAATAAACAGTGCCTGGAAGGTAATTACCATACACATGAAGTATGGGGGTAACAGATTAGTGACAAAGGTGGGTGATAAAAGCTGGTACCTGCTGTGAGAATGGATAAAACTATTTTAGAACGTTGTCTTTATTTAAATGTTTCTGAGACCTGGGTCCTTATTTTTATTTTCCAGAAGGTACCAGTGCTTTAAGCAAGCAGCATTTTATTTCCTCAAATCCATTTATTTTAGTGATCATGCACTTGCCATTCACCCTTGGTAAGACAGGTTCCTACCCTTGGCATCTGATGGGAAAAGATCCCCCGGAATGGCAAGAGACTTTGAAGACGATTCTTACACCTAAGGGCTCTATTATCCCAGTACCTCGTATCGTGTTTGGCACATGGTAGGACTGAATAAATAATTCATGAGAAATTAAATAGATAGAACCACAAATGTAAAGTTTTTGTGAAATACTTTCTAATAATTTTCTATACATTTGAAGAAGAGGAAGCAGAAGCAGGAATCAGAGGCTTAGTATAAGAAAGCTTATGTTTAGCAGGCCAAGAGGCTATGCATTAAACTGAATTCAAGGGGAAAAAAGGACTTCCAGAAGTACTGTGAATATCGCTACACATATAAAAGGGCTCTGACTAAAGGTGAATAGAGAGTGTTTCGAAATGCTTGTTGAATTATGTCCTGGGTATATAAATGTGGCCTGCAATTTCTCTCACAGTGGTGGCTGCCTATCGGCTCCTATGGATGAGTACACATATTGCATTAAACTCGATAGCATGGGGTCCCCTGTGATCTGTTAGGGAAGATTGTAGTAGGTTCAGGTTTCTGGAAAATAAAATTCAGTAGGTGAATCCATACATGGAACAATGTAGTCTTGGAAAGCAAAAATTAGAAGATGCCAATCCCTACAACATAAAACTATTGAATTGCCCATTAAGTAAATTAGAATTTTCAGGACATAAAATAGTGATATCAACATATTCTTAAAATAAAAAAAAATATAATTTGATTTATACTATTTCTTTCTTTACTCTAAAAAGAGTAACTCTCTTCCTAACTCTTGCAGTGAGAGATTTTCCAAAGGCATCCATTGACTTCAAATAGGTGTCATAAGTTTATTTATTTCTTTAAGAGGGAGAGAGACAGAAAGAGACAACCAAAGGGTCGGAGGTCACATTCACTGGTTTCACTGGTTCACTGCCCAAATGCCCACAGTGCAACCAAAGCCAGGAGCCATGAATGCAATCAGGGACTCCCTTGTGGTGGCAGGGACACACCTACTGGAGTCGTCACTGCTGCCTCCCAGGGCGCACATTAGCAGCAAGCTGGAGTCAGGAGCCACAACCAAGAATGAAACCCAGGGGCACAACATGGTGTTGTCTGGTCACAGAATGCCCCAGTAGGAATTGGCTGTAGATAGCCCCACTGATTCAGAAACTCGAGGGGGGAGAGGGTAAAGGCAGGGCTCTGATACACTTTAGGAAAGGAGCTGAGAGATTCAAACCTGTTGAGCAGTACGATCATCTCAGTTGGGGTATATAAATCTGAAGATAAGACCAAAACCCAGTCAGAGAGACCAGAGACCCATGTGGGAGGAAACCAAAGTGGAAAAACTTAAGTTCATAGACCAGAGTGCCCGGGAAGTAACTCGGGCAGACAGAACACAAGGCAGCAAGGACAAGACCAAGAGCTCTCACACTCGAGTGAGCATCAGAACCACCCGGAGGGCACATTAAAACCCAAATTGCTGGTGCCTTGCTCAAGTTTCTGATCCAGTAGGTCTGGGTCAAGGCCTGAGAACTTACATTTCTATGACATTGCAGGAAATGCTGGTGCCACTGGTCTCAGGACCATACGTTGAGAACCACTGGTTGAGACTGCCTGTGCCCTGGCAGGGGTAGGAACGGAGTACTGCCAGATTTGGCTGGAGTAGCCCAGGGCCAGGCACCCCTGAGTCTACAGTTTAGATCCCTCAGTTCCTACACTAGAGGGAGGCAGGGCTCACTTTAAGAAAGAAGGACAGGACCACAAGTTCATGTGCACACACACACACACACACATGATATAAACTTGGCTCAACTATGTTATAGTGATACCACTGTCCTGTCATGGTTTATAATGCTATCAATGGACTTCTCAACTCCATTATAGCTTTTAAACTCAGTTGCCCATCAGTTAGGCTATATTCAGCAAGGCTTTGCTTGTTTACCCAGCAGCTGTCATGTCAGTTCTTTCCATAAAGTAGCCAAATATAAATAAGTTGAAGTTGTAATAAAATGACACAAATGGAGAAATCAAAGGGCATGGAAGGCAAATGTGATTTGAAATGAGCACAAATGTCCTTGCTTGGAATATGATTTGTTTAGACACTTCACATGACCTGCCTTACTTGATTCTACATATTTCTCTTAAAATATTACGTATTTACTTGAGCTTGTTTTTTATCCTATAAAATTTTCCATTCAGTCACCAACTACCACCATAAGATGCAAATAAAATGTTTTGTATAATGCATACATCGATAGCATTCATATAAATTGTACTGTGATGGAAATGACTTTAAAACAGCAATGAATTCACTCTTGGAGAAACTCAAGATAATCTTTATATGTGAAACAAGGTCTCCATTGATTAAGTCTTATTTAAAGCACCCTTCAAGTTTCTAGTCTTGCGTCTGCTTAATCTTCTTTTAGAAAATAAAATTAAAACATTTGGAATTCAGCATTTGAAATAAATCGGACCTTTGTTTCTTAAAATTCTAGAGAAAAAGAAAAGACTCCTCCAGCAATTTTTTTGGAGGTTTTCCTGCAAAAGACAGCAGAATGGTTTCTTGATAAGAATCCAGATATCCTCCCTTCTGCAGAATACATTAACACAGGCAGTGAGGGAAGCCCAACCCACAGTCTCCAAGGAGCGCGCTACTGTGAGCCAGGAAACAAAGGCCATCAAAGGTGGCAAGCCCTGCCCTGCAGAGGCCAGTACACAGGACCGCTGGCCTCAGGATCACACACACTTACAAATAAACATCAAACCCCCACAGGGTGCTGCTCCCTTGCTGGCAGTGTCCCTGGTTATTAACTTTTGGATGGTTACCCTATGCTTGGTAGGGCACCACGTGGAGCTAACAATCTTTCTGCAAATAGTGCCTAACTTTCCTGGGCGCCTCCAGATAAGAATATTGGACTCAGCCCCTCAAAATGTCTGAACATTCTGAGTACAGAAGAACTTGTCTCCCAGATGGCATTACAAAGTGCCTTCAACCAGGTGACCTTTCCAGTCTCCAGACTGTGGCTTCAAAAGAATAATACCCAGCTTTCTTCTACTGAGTTCTTATTCTGTGTTGGATCTTAGATATGGAAGTGCAAGGTGCGTAACCTTTCAGTGTCTCGGTCTCTAATCTATAAAATGGGAATGATGAGAGAAGCTACCTGAGGCCTAGCAAAGGTCTGGGTGAAGGTGCAGGTCCAGGGTCATTACCACTGTTGGCTGCAGAATCACACTCTCCTCACCCAGGCAGCCTCAGCACAAGGCCTGCACACCCAAGCAGTGTATGCTTCTCCACTCTGAATAATGAGCTTATTCTTGATGCCTGCAATTTACCTTGATTAAGACATCCTCTAGGGGGAAAAAGAGATGTACTTTCATAACCAAGACAAGCCTGTTAAAAACAAACACAGGAAATCTTCATCCATCGTGAGTGACTGGGCGGACTTGCTCAGGCAACACAGAAATTCCTCAGTGCGGATTTTCTCTTTGACCTGGAGCAATTAAAGGTAAACAAAGACAGCCTCAGTCTAAAGTAGCCAAGAAGGGAAATGTGTATTTCTCAATGATAGGAATTCAGACTTAAAAGAAATTGTCATCTATACCCTATCTCCCAGCATCGTCAGGACCCCAAGCCATCCTGCCATTGGCCTTCACCCAGAATCAACCACCCCCCACTCCAAATTTGCACATACTGGCCTGTGTCCATTGCAGAGTGAATAACTTTTAAATAGTGCAATTATTCTAGCACCATCAATATTTCAATTAAATGTTTAAATTCAATTGTTGGTGTATGACCAAAAACCATCCTGGAATCTTTCTTTTATCATTTATACCCACTAGCTACAAAGGTTTAAAATACCAGACATCATAGGAATATTGGCAAGATAAAGTGAGAACTGTCCTTAGCAATATTTTTTAATCTTAAACAATAGCAGAGTTAAGTACACTTGCTTACATACAAACTTCCTTTATTAGTGAAGTGAGGAAATATCAATTTACTGTCAGGGGTGACTACATATAATTAAACTCCCTTAATATCTAACTGTGCTCTATTTGGTTTCCTGTCTAGCAGCCAAAGTCCCATGCATGTTTAATAATCTGCGTCATTGATATATTAACATAGTAAATCAGGCACACACAATGTGGAGTTAGACTGTGTAGGAACCAGCCCTGCCTCCCTCTCTGACT